CTGCTGAACTTTCCATTTTCCAGTACTTGGGGGTGGGAATGGTGTTGTCGGCACTGGTGTTGGTGTGGTTGTACTAGGTGTAGGTGTTGTAGTTGGTTTAGGTGTAGATGTTGTAGTTGGTGCAGACGTAGATGTAGTTGGCTGAGATGTAGATGTTGTAGTTGGCTTAGATGTAGATGTTGTAGTTTTAGTTACAGTTGTTGATGTGATTGTTGGCTTTGTTGTAGGTGAAATAGTCATAGAATCATTTGAAGGCATATTTTCATTAGAAGGAACCCCTAAAGTAGCTGACTTATTTGACTCTGGTAGAACAGATGGCACATGTGCATCTTCGTCGATCGGAGATACAGGTAGGTTACTGGTTCTCAATGGCAATTCAGAATTTGTAACTACATTGTTGCCGATCGAGTTGTCAGGAACACTTGTATTATTGATAATGACATTCTTGCCGCCAGCTGTTAAAATCATACATGCACAATTACATTTCTGTATTATACCAGGCCAACTTTTTTCAACTTTCAAGGTCATATATAAATAAAGGTCTTCAAAATAGGAAATGATATAGCAGATTAATTATAAACCTGTTTTTGAAATTGAAATATTTTTCAATGTTTTCTTCCATCTCTAATTTTAAAAGATATACAAATTTAAAATGCAATATAGACAGTATTAAAAATTTTATATATACACACAATATCTCTATATATTATTTTAAATATATCAATTTTTTCTAGAATTAAGTTGCTCATATTGCATATTAATGATAAACTGCGTGAAAAAAAAACTGTCAACTGTGTTAAATAAAAAAGAACAAAGTCCAACATAAAAAAAAAAAAAAAGAGATAAACTTCAGTACTATAGACAGAAACGTTATGCATATATTTAGCAAATTAAAATCATTTTGAATTCATAATGATAGATTTAATGAGAGAGGCGTCATCTGTAGCCGATTAAATCTGCAATATAAATTTTTTCCAGGAAAGCGATAGTCCTTATCGCGTAATATTACATACAATACAATGAAACAAGCGAGATGCGAGATCTGGTTTCCTCCTTCCCGGAAGAACCTGTCGCAATGTCATCTCACGCGTATGCCGAGTGATCGTTTTGTTTTAAGCATTAATCATCATGCATTGAATCACGCGAGTGCTGCTAAACTCGAGTTTTCCGTTTGACAATATCCTTGTTCAAAAAAGCCGAACAGTAGATAGATACGATCGCCTCATCATGGCGTCTTGAGAGTTGAAGGCGCAATTATTAATTTCATGCTCGGTATAGCTATTGCGATGCAAGAATACAATTTTAGAAAAGCAATATAATGTTTCTTTCTCCTCTTTTTATTTGTTGCCAAGAATCATGCACAAAGCGACAACGATGACGACAATGACGATGATGGGAATCGCCCAACATCGCCGAATACATGTTGCGAGAGTACATTTCCGCGAACACCAGCTGTCATTGTCGCACGACGATAATGAAATCGCAAACTTCGCCGCAAATTTGTTTACCTGACACAATCGTCGCGGCCCAGCACAAAAGCAGCAGGGGTCTCAGCATATCGTCAAACGCTTGAACAAGTCTGGACAAGTGAAGTCGGAAACTACTATGGTACGGTACGTATGTGCACAATCTGCGCGGTCCAGGAAAATGAAAAGTCTATCGAAGAACCGCAAGGATTCGAGAACAGCGATCTTACTGCCATCTGTCCCGACTATATCCAGTACGGCGAGTGGGGATAATGGCGGTTTGTGTGAATAAAAAATGATATAATTTCGTAATAAAATATATTGAAATATTTTTCCTTGTCATAGCTAAAAATGATGAGACAAACGCGACAATTAAGATATTCAATTTGCCAACTGATAATTGAAATACGACAATTTACAATTCTCTGTAAAGAAACTTTTCATGAAATGTGTATAGCTCAGTATATAGCTTTATTTATAACTTTATTCATAACTTAAATATTTTTAATAGTAATTTATTTTTATAATTAGCTATTTTGTGTGAATACACAATTCATAAAATGAAAAAGATCACACATACATATATAATTTTTATTAAAATAATGAAGACAAAATCTTTAATATACAACATACTAAATATCATGTTGAACAAAATTTCCCCAAAATAGTATATAAACACATTAAAACTAATTAGGATAAATAAAAATACCAGCCATTTATTTTACAAGAACTTTACAAGACAGTGAAATTGTATGTGAGAAATCAAAGAAATCAAAGAAATCAAAGAAATGTTTTAGCATGAATTAATTCATAAATTAATATCATATAAAATTCGCAATTTTATATGCATACAGTCATACTATCTATCACATATCATACATTCAATGTGGAAGAATATCTTACAGAATTAGTAGAAAATCCGCTTATTGCTTCCAATATGAGTTTGCAATATATTCATTTTGATAATCTCACAGATAAAACTCTGTTGTAGCGATAAACATATATTTAGATATATAAACATATAATATCCACATGCAAGTATATTGTCTTAAGCAGCACAAAGTATTATTTACAATCACTTTACAATAAAAGCAAAGAATTTAAGGCACAAAAATGTAGTGTGATACATCGTTAGTGTCTTCCATAACCTTAGATTGAAGTAGCTTGATTTCAAGCCTGAGCTTTTCCCTCTCCATCTCTTGTTTCCTTATTTCGTTTGAGTAGCAATTAATCTGCAACTTTAACTTGTCCTTCTTCAGTTTCAACACTTCAGTTTCATGATACAGTTTTCCCTTTTCGGCGCGCAATACCGCCAATTGTTCCTGAAGCAATTGGTGACTCGTTTCATCGGATAATACTACTTCTGGCGTCTCTATATCACACTTCATTATAGGTATCGATTTAGTCGTCGTATTCGTCTCGCTCTCGGGCCCGCTTTCTGGTTCCGTTTCTATGGAAGTGCTTTCCTTCATGATCCAAATTCTTGAATCCGCTTCGCGGAAGCTGCCAGGTGACTTTGGCGACTGTTGCAGCGTCAAAGGATCGGTTTGCGATTTGTGATTAGGCGAAGCAGACGTTTCCTTTGTGACTTTTTCGATGGTGGTAGTCGGAGCGATGGTTTCTATGTCTAAAACTAATATGCGAGATTTCTCTTTTAATTTTTTCATATATTTTTATTGTACTCATATTGTAATCATTATAAAGAAAAAATCAATTTACCACGCGACTTCGGCGATTGGCTATCATCTACCGTGTGCGATAAGGGATCGTTGCAATAACTGTTGAATTCCCTCTCGTCGACGAAAACGGAACCGTCCGCGTTAACAATAGATTCAACTATCACTGAAGGATCGCCATTCTCCATTACCAGCTCACCCACTATTTCTCCATCGGCCGTTATTATGTCATCTTCGTTATCCGCTCTTAATAATTTGCCCTCGTTTGTATCAATCTCATCGACTACCTCTTCTTGCGTCAATTGACCGCTATAAGAATCTTCACCATCGTTACCCTCGCTCACTTCTAACTCTGTCGATAATCTCTAAGAAAAAAAATATTTTTTTATTCATATTATCATTCATACACATATATGAAAAAGATGAATGTAAAGTGAATATAGTTATGTCTCACATCTTGACCCCAGGCAGATTCCTGTTCTTTTTTCATTCTTTTTATGGTTTGCGCAATCTCATCTTCTGATTCAGGATACATTTTTCTATTGCTATTTCTGGCCTGCATCTTTTCAATGTCATGAATCTTCTTAAATAACTGATATGCTCGCTCCGGTGTGATATCTCTCTTCTGCTTATTAGCTGCTGCTATATTGAATAGATCTTTGGATCGCAATATCTTGTTAGTACGCAGTCGCACATACTCCCTCAATCTTTTACGATCAATATGCAATTGCAAAAGGTCTTGAACTTCTTGTCTGATTTCACCACAGAGCTTTCTTTCTTGTGGAAGATTCTTAAACAGTTCCTATTGGATAAAATACTTTTTTGTAAAAATCTAATACAAATATATAACATTGTATAGTATTAAAAATCATAAGATCCCTAAAGCAATATTTTTTACTCAAAAATGAAATCTTGTATAAAAAAGTATTGATTTATTTTGGTATCTAGAATCATTTTTTTTTTTAAATTCAGGATATTATCATTCATTACAAAATTCCACTCATACATAGGATAATAAAATAAATTGCTCAAATCTGTGTACCTCTGAGATTTCATGATTATGTTCATTATTGACACTTGTCACTTCCAACTTTGTACCATCTTTAGATGCCCTGAGCATAATGTGAGCAGGACAATTTGTTCGTATAGATCTATATAACATGTATCAGTAAGAACAAAATATTGTATTGAAATTATAAACAAATATTGATACTTATATATATCATGGATATATATCCTTTAAGAAATAGAAAACTAACTGAGATTGTCTTCTGCCAGCACCACGTGGTAAGAATTTCTGGCCACCATAAATGCAAGCATATTTAACGGAATAATATTTTAATCGTTCGCTAATAGGTCGTGCAGTCTTCATATGAGCTCCACTAACAGTTCTACTATCTCGCCTCCAGTAATGTACCAGACTGTGTTTTGAAAATCTGTCCAGCTTCTGTTCCAGCTCTTCGTAACTGTCAAACATTTCCCCCAAGTGGAAGGATACATCATCATCATTGCCAGTGTTCACATCCATTGTATGGACAGCAGTCAATCTGCGCAACAAAATCAAGAAGAGAATTAGCCAGATATCTTCAACAGAAATTCGTGACTTTCTTTCGTCAACGCGGATGAAACTTTTACCATCATTATCGTGTAATCTCCGTGTCTCTTCTAGAAGAAGCTACAACTCAAATCGCGAATTTTTTTTAACAAATCAAACTTGAAGCTCGAATTCACGATATTAGAAAGAAGGTTAGCATGACGGATGCAAATAAGCGTGATCAGGATATTCGACTCGAGGATCGCGAAAATATCGTCGTCGACGTCATTATCGTTGCTCGATCGAAATTTGAATCGACGACGATCGAGCGCGATGCGAACGACAACATCGTTCACTGGGAGTCGGTACGACCAAGGAGGACGAGAGGAGAGGTTATACAATGCGCTGTCGTTTTGACAATTGGCGTGGCAGAAGCCGCATCGGGAACCGTGAACACAGACAGACCGAGTTTCAAGAGGAGAACCGGGCGAGCAGGCGACCGGGCATCTCCGATTCTTAGCGGCCCGGAATGTGAGATTGAATTTACTGTGGAGCGTGTGGTGCGATAAATTACAGCGATTTTGCATACTACATACCGCGACGATCACGTTGTTGCAATATTCTCGCGAAGGACGCGAGCGAGTGACGACATCCGTCAGATTTTCTTTCACGGCTTCCGCTCGCAAGACGACAATTTTCGAAAAGAAAGTCGCACTTGGTGGAACGGCTGGGAAAAGTCTTTCTTAGAACTGTTTGAAAGAACGTTTGATTTTGAATTAATGCAGAATTCGTTTTCGAGAAGTTTTCGGGACGCACAGTGCGATTTGTAAAATACTAATACGTACGTATTTAGTTCGTCGTTGTTTTCCAACTTTGTACCATCTTTAGATGCCCTGAGCATAATGTGAGCAGGACAATTTGTTCGTATAGATCTATATAACATGTATCAGTAAGAACAAAATATTGTATTGAAATTATAAACAAATATTGATACTTATATATATCATGGATATATATCCTTTAAGAAATAGAAAACTAACTGAGATTGTCTTCTGCCAGCACCACGTGGTAAGAATTTCTGGCCACCATAAATGCAAGCATATTTAACGGAATAATATTTTAATCGTTCGCTAATAGGTCGTGCAGTCTTCATATGAGCTCCACTAACAGTTCTACTATCTCGCCTCCAGTAATGTACCAGACTGTGTTTTGAAAATCTGTCCAGCTTCTGTTCCAGCTCTTCGTAACTGTCAAACATTTCCCCCAAGTGGAAGGATACATCATCATCATTGCCAGTGTTCACATCCATTGTATGGACAGCAGTCAATCTGCGCAACAAAATCAAGAAGAGAATTAGCCAGATATCTTCAACAGAAATTCGTGACTTTCTTTCGTCAACGCGGATGAAACTTTTACCATCATTATCGTGTAATCTCCGTGTCTCTTCTAGAAGAAGCTACAACTCAAATCGCGAATTTTTTTTAACAAATCAAACTTGAAGCTCGAATTCACGATATTAGAAAGAAGGTTAGCATGACGGATGCAAATAAGCGTGATCAGGATATTCGACTCGAGGATCGCGAAAATATCGTCGTCGACGTCATTATCGTTGCTCGATCGAAATTTGAATCGACGACGATCGAGCGCGATGCGAACGACAACATCGTTCACTGGGAGTCGGTACGACCAAGGAGGACGAGAGGAGAGGTTATACAATGCGCTGTCGTTTTGACAATTGGCGTGGCAGAAGCCGCATCGGGAACCGTGAACACAGACAGACCGAGTTTCAAGAGGAGAACCGGGCGAGCAGGCGACCGGGCATCTCCGATTCTTAGCGGCCCGGAATGTGAGATTGAATTTACTGTGGCGCGTGTGGTGCGATAAATTACAGCGATTTTGCTATAAAGGGGGGAAAAGCTCTACATACCGCGACGATCACGTTGTTGCAATATTCTCGCGAAGGACGCGAGCGAGTGACGACATCCGTCAGATTTTCTTTCACGGCTTCCGCTCGCAAGACGACAATTTTCGAAAAGAAAGTCGCACTTGGTGGAACGGCTGGGAAAAGTCTTTCTTAGAACTGTTTGAAAGAACGTTTGATTTTGAATTAATGCAGAATTCGTTTTCGAGAAGTTTTCGGGACGCACAGTGCGATTTGTAAAATACTAATACGTACGTATTTAGTTCGTCGTTGTTTCCAACTATAACGGATAAACATTCAACTAATATGTATAGATTATTGCAATATTGCAATCTTGCAAATTACTCATAGAGATAAGTTGAATTGTAAGAAAGATTCCAGTAAGAATTTAGACATAATAAAAGAAATAAGAAATATGCTATTAAATTTAAGGATTTGTAAAGAATTAAGATTATGTATATTGAAGATTGAAATATATGATCAATCAGGACAAAAGAATTCAAATTCCTTTTGTTCTAATTAAATTCCAATCTCTAATCTTTAATGTGTAGTCTGATATGAGCTTAATTCTTTATAATTATTTATGCTCGATTCCATATTCCTTATTCTTTTTATTCAAACCCTAAGATTATACAGCAATATATTTGTAATAATGTATAAAAAGTACTATATCAAAATGTGAATATATATATATTAATAATTATATATAAAGAATATATATAAGATATATATAAAACAAAATAAAACATTGCGTATCTCGTATTTGCAATATTGCAGTCTTGCAATAGAAAACATTTCTGCAATGCTCCAGAAGTTTTTTGATATTCAAATTCGTGTTTTGTCCGGAATAAAAAAATAACTAGAGGAAATCGAAAGGAAAGAAATGAAATGCATGCCATGTTATTCTTGATACATCTGTAAAACAACATGGCATGACCAATCACGTTTTATCTGATCCTTTCCAAAAATTCTCCAAAAATTTACAGTTCTCTCATCCAATTATTTCTCGTAGTACATATAATCTTGTCGCGTGCTTGTGCAGGAGCCACAAAAGAGAGTGGTCGATAAAATATGTCGCATCACCGAACGAACCCCGCACAAATACAACAGCATCCAGCATTCTAATATCGACAGCAGCAGCGACGAGACTTTGCCAGACTCGCCCGACTTTGATCTGTCGGTCCCTTCGCGAACCGGTCCCGAGTCATCTCAATTACTTCTCCTTGGGCGGCTTATCTGTGAAGCTCGTGTACGACCGCGATAATCGTGTCGTCCTCCGGAAAATGAGTCTCAGGGAAGTCGTGAAAAATACTCAGTATGTTCTTCAGTATCTTCCCGAAGATAATGAGTAGTTAAATACTTCGATGCCCGCGACAGCAACGATAGCCGACGAAGACGACGTACGGTGCTACACGGAGGATCGTATCCTGCCGCAATCGAGAAACCGTCGCGAAAACTTCAACGGAGTCGACGACGAAAGTGACGTTGTCGGGTACTTTCGGGTTATCCACGAGATCTCTTCTATGTGCCTCTACCACGTGGACGTTGCACCACGTTGTTTCAATACATTTGGGACTGCCGCGTGCCGCCCCGTCAATCATGGATGTTGACTGTCCGATCGTAAGCCTGAAGCGATCCAGCAGTGCGCCGATGATTAACGAGATTAGCAGCGCGACCATGTCCGTCACTACACCGTCTACATCATCCTCGAGGTACGTCTGCAGATTCTTTTTGTTTGTTCAAGAGAATACTCTAATTGTGCCCCTGAGTATAGCATGGTTGTTTGTTGTTCCTGATTCAGGACAATGATACAAGAATCATTTGAGGTCTTTGAGATCCAATCCTAAAGTCTAGTATGTACCATATAATTGTAATTATAATATTATTGTTCATCATCAAGAGTTGTTATTTGTGGTTCTTGTGGGCGAATAATTAATATATTGCTCGCTCAAACTGCATAACTCAGAAAGTATCAGCCTTGCATGGAGTGTTAAATGAGAGAGCAATTCTTTTTCCAGATGCATGTTCATGTAGTAAGACAGTTTCATGTATGTGTTAATATACATAAATACATTTATATAATATTAGATTATTTCCCCTATCGGAAGCAAAATTGAAAGATAAAAACATGAGTTGTATAAGAATATATAAGCATATATAAGCATTATGCTTATTTTAATATTAAGAATTTTTAGAAATACATAGAGATGTAAGAAATTATATTATAAAAAATATATGTATGTTTTTTTTACTTTGATTATTGGTAACAATTTGCAATTATTTTAAATATTGATAAAAATATTGTGTATTAAAATATACAAATCTTTTTTTTTAAGCTACATTTAATAAATTTTAATTTATGCTATACAAATGCTGCATAACTTATACAATATTTAGGGTAAATTAATTAAGATTTGAATTCTGCCTATATTTTCAAACATTTGTCATATAATTCAATGAAAAAATCTTTCATAATATATGTCAACAATCCTGATATTTGCGCAACTAAAAAATGTGCACTAAATTATCTTTAAATATTTCTTATGTTATTATTTGCAGGGATGCTGTGTCAACCTACAATATATTTTCTAATTCTACGCGTTCACGACGCTTCAGCACCAGTGTAAGATCATGTTACTTGCGTGCTCTCTTATTTTTCATTAATCAGTAGTCAACATAATTATTTGATACTGATCAGGTATTATCTATATTTCTCTTGTTATTCCAATAAATGTATCATTTGTTTTCTGTTTTATAAGATAAAATTAAATTGACATTGTAATTAATGAGAAAAACCTGATCAATAACAAATATATAATATTTATTTCACAATGTTATACATTATATAATTTCAAAGAAACTATTGATATTTTTTTATTTCAATATTCTTTCATTTTTTCTATTTTTAGAGTCCTGGTAATGTTCCTAGATTGACACCACGTGTGAGTCAATTAAGACAGGAAGAATGCGTAGACGTCGCTGGCCGGGAAGCTGCACACGAGAAGGAAATTCACAGTGCCATGCAAATATCGCAATCGTGGGAGGATCTCACTTTGGAGGCAGAAGGACTATCGTTCAAAGACTCAGAGACTTCTACACAGCAGCTTAACAAAATGGAACGACCAAAGAGGCCGTTAGATCCCCTAAGTCTAAATCTTTCCATTATTGGCTCATCGCAGTGTTCTTCACCTTCGCCCACAAGATCGGGTTTCAATCAAAGACAGTGTTATTCTCCCAGCATTCATATTTGGAAGAACAATTTGTCTCCTAGTCCTACGAGAAAAGCGTTTGCCACAAGGTAGATTATATTTTGCGCACTGCAAGTTTATCTCATTTAAAGTTGTTGTTACTAGAAGATTACATAAGCCTGTTAGTTTTAGCCTAAAAAAAAGACTAGTTATATTATAATTTATACATTATTTTTTCATGTTTACATTATTATTTCTTATGGATATCATATGAAATAACAGGCGCAGCTTAAGTCCTATCGCGATAAGGCCAAGCTGCTTGGGCCCAGTCAAAAGAAAGTTTGAATTAGACGAGGCGGGGATGGATCATAATTTGCAGCCACCTGCAAAACGTACTTCTGGTTTATTGACATCAGTTGTATCCAGGTACACTTTTACATTGATCCTTTTTTTATTTTTTCTAAAATCACAATGAGATTAGTAAATTATATTTTTTATATATATATATCAAATATTTCAAAGATTTGGACGAGTTACAAGTTAAGTAGGAAAAAAGGAGAAATTAATTTGTTAAAATTAACTTGCCAAGATCTTAATTTAATTAATTTACTGCACTGAACATCTCTAGATTTTTAAATATTGAGTCAAATTATCGAAGAAACGATCGTTTCCTAAACATCATAGAATGACGAGTACTTATGGGATGATTTTATAATATAACTTATCAAATTCTCTAATCATTTCTCCTGCAGGCTGGATACACTATCCAGCCCACTTCCAGGGACTATTAGTTCCGTTGGCACACCTGAGTCGTTATCGAGCGCGGATTCACCTAGTTTTTCCTTCCGGCCAGTGGACAGTCCGTCGCCGGTTCGCGCAGTTCCGAACAGTGACAGCGATTCCCTATCAGATGCAAGTAATCAAAGTAAACCGACAGATCACATCCGTGTCGATCAGATCAATCAGGACAATCACAGATGAACACGAGAGACCGTTGTCGGACGTGTGAGAGCTTAGAGATTTAATGTGTCATATTGGTTATTTTTGGGATATCGATGTAGGAAATATGATATCTGCATATTGAATCCAAAGCTCGGTGTATCCTTCTCGTCGATCTTGTTCAAAGTGACAAAAGACAGTGTTCTCATAATGGGACATGGATCACTTGGAACTTTAGTGCAAGTGTATGATGTATTTTAGAGGACAAGCATCTCTAATAGTTCTTCTTTTGATGTATGAGTAACTGTAGCGCCAAGAGTGTTCTCCTCCCTTTATTATGCTACTTATATACATATCGACGGGAAGATGCTTCATGTGTCCCGTAATCGTATCGTTCTATTAGATTTATTCCAGAGCGAAGCATGTTCGTACTATAAAATGATTCATTCTTTTTTTCCTTTTCTTTTTTTTTCTTTTTTTCTTTCTTTTTTTTTTAAAGGCCATCATTGTTTCATATCATAAACAAATTCATTGGTGAATGTATTTCACGGCAATGTGACGTGAGACAATGGTCAATGAAATATTTTTTATTTGCACTCAGATAAAAACAATGACTCCCGAGTATTCGAATTCGTAGAGCGCTTGTATTCTAATCCTGAAATCATAGATTTTGAAGATTGTATTTACACTAAAAAGGATCATGCGGGAATATATATACATATATCTGAATGCATAAAATATATCATATATCATTGAACGCTAATCGTCTGTATACATCTTTATCGTTATATCCGCTCCGAGATAATGCGAAGATGAAGAAACTTTATAATTTGAATATAAATGGATTTGTAGAGTCTGAGAAGTATCAGGAGATGATAGCAGCGACGGAAAGCCCACCGAAAGGCAGCGGTCCGTTCCGCCTGGATGACGATACTGAATTTCCACCTGTCACGCAAAGGACAGACTGAGCGTAACATACAGATACGCAATTAAGGCATATCAAAAGCTCAAAACAAGCGGAGATATGAAAACCGTGTAAGAGCAACGATCGTGACGAGCGAAAGGACAAAAAGGGCACAGAGTGCAGATGTCCAGTATTTACACAGACGGCCGTATATCCAGTACTTCAAGTTCAGTAGAACTAAATCTGTAGGCGATATTACCGAGAATGTTACATATCTAAAATACGCATTAAAGATTTAAATAAAATGCGACGCTAAGAGCGT